CCCTCCCTCCCCGTTGATCAAATGTAAAGGTCACGAGAATAAAGGAATGATCATCAATTTAAGAAGCTCCTGATTTCCAAACAAGTTCTTTTTGGTATTTCCAAAGGAAATCTAAAGAGAACAGTCTGGAGATTGTGAATATGAATGTTAGGTTGTAAAGAGTTATAATTATTGGGTATAAAGAGATGATTTTTTTTACCCTTAGGCGGATTATGAAGTGAAGGGTGACGCGGATCTTGGACAATCTTCTATTCCTTGCTTGGCAAGAACAGCTAGAAGTAACAAGGTATGTTTGACAGAAGGGAAAACGCCTTAAGTAGGAAACGGAACAATATCAATCGTTAAAATTTGTTCTTAACACTCTGTAGCATTTTCCACTCAAGTACCCAACTATATGCGATAAAATTTAATGTTTATACAAATCCCCAATTAATTTAGAAAGCGGTAGACTTTGTGATTGCGATATAATACAGAACTTACGACCCAGTTGAACCCTGCTGGCCATTTTCAGGTTTTTCTGTAGCTTGTTCTTGTTTCTTTGGTATATCTCTTTTAAAGGTGGTCTCTCTACTCATCTTTTTTTCCAGGAAGCACTATTGTTTGAAGACTTTCACGTTCTCTGCTTTGGCAAGTTTGGTGCAGCGGTCGCGAAAGGTAACCTCTTTAATTTTCTGCTCCTTGTAAAGATTTGTGGCACAAACGTGAATTTTGAGCAGCTGTTCAGTTGTAAGGCTTCGTAGCTCTTACATCTTGCACAAAATTTCATCTTTTTTGATTTCTTGAATAGCCTGCAGAATAAGCGTGATTTGTTTGTGTTTTCAGGCGAACGGAGGCAAGCGCGAGGCGAGAGCGAAGTGCGAGTCATGTGAGAGGGGAGGGGCACCAAAAAAAAGAACTTTCTCAAATGGCTTCTGTTATTTTTCTTCTTCAACTACAGACCAACTCAGCCAGTTATTAAAATTTTGTGGAGCACGTGTCTTTTCCGATGTTGAAAATTTAAAAAGAATCGGGAAGGTGAGTCTATGTGGTCCTCCTCCTTTCCTACTCTGTTTTATTTTCTTATTCATTTTTTCGTGTCTCTTTATTTATTTTTCTCGCTTTGTTTGTTTTCTATTTTTTCTCTTTAACTCATTGCAACTTCCATAACTCTAGATAACGATGTGGGCTTTTAAGGTGATGCAACGCATGTCTTTGTCAGGAAAAGTGATAATTAGTATAACTAGCATACCCCTAAATATCCGCTAGCGTGGCGAAAGTGTTGAGCCGTCTTCTATGCCCCTTACCCCTTCCATCCCCCAACTCGAAAACCCTACCGATGTGCCTCCTGAGACTGACATTAACTGAATGCCATTGACTTTCCAGGATGCCCGAAAAGTAGTTGTTTTTGATAAAGAAACGAAAATCAACGTTGATCACTTGAAAGGTGAGGTTCCTTCTCTTAGCTCCTACGATGTGTTATAGTCGAGATCCCTGCTTGTTTTTGTTTTCTTTTTGTCAATTTTTGCTCTTCCTCTGCCGCCTTTGATGTGAAAGTTAATCACCTTGAATCTAGTGTGAAACAACTTTAGTTTTGGCCTTTATTCCTTGTTCTACGAAGTTAACATTTTTGTCTTTTCTTCTCTTTCTTTGTGCCACAGCTGTCTGCTGTCACTTGAACACTATCCCTGTGTCCTTGGAGTGGGTAACAGACAGCATAGCAAATTACGAGTAAGTAGTGTACCAAGAATGACCCTATTATAACAGCACAAATAACTTTTGCTATTCATCGTAAGCTGCTACTCCTTCCCAATCCCCTCCTCCAAACTCCTCTCGTACGTCGTTATTGAAAGAACCGTGGTCCG